AGTGACTTGACACAACGCGGGCCAAACAAGATGTAGCTAGCTACAAACAAAACAGAGTTAAAAGTGTTCATCCATGTATACGGGTAAGAGTCTAGCTACATTTTTTATTCATATTTTTATATTTTCAGATATTATACATTTCTAATTTTCTCAGAAAGTCATATTCATTTCAAGTTAAAGCATACTGTTAGCTAGCTAGCAAACGTTAGCTTGCTGGCTTGCTAGCTAACGTTACGTGCATGATCTGTGTAACAATATTATTTGTATCTCATAAACTATTTGCATTGCTAGTTATAGTCTAATGTTAGCTAGCTAGCTAACATTGAACCTAGTTGGTTAGCTTTAGCTACGTGCAGATTCATACTACAGCATTTCATGCATGGTGGCTAGCTATGACAATCAGTTTGTATTACTAGTAGTATGAGTTGGGATTATGGTTCATTGTTTAGCTAGCTAGCTACATGTGTAAACAAAAGACTCCACTTCGCCAGATGATTACATGACCCATCAAGTTAGCCAGGTGTGTCTGGGGGTGATTACGGACATCTATTGTATTTCATGAACATGTGTACATGTCTAGACAATAGTGACCCATCCACTTAGCTAGGTGTGATTGGGGGGTGGTTATAGCATTTATTTCACATGACCCATCAATTTAGACAAGTGTGTATTTATAAAATATTTGTATCTGGACACTTTCTATTTTATATATTGCTACTATGCAAATATGCAAGTAACCATTTCACTGTACCGTTTACACCTTCTGTATCCTGTGCATGTGGCAAATAAACGTAGATTTTATTTGATATAGCGTGTGTTTACCAGAGATGGTAATGTGAAGAACAACATGACCTGCACCAAAGTCAGATTAGGATATAGGCCAAGAACTAGATAACGTGTATTTTTACCTGGAGTTTTTCCTTATTGTAGGCTACTACTTTCACCACTTTTAGTCTTGAAATATTTGGTTGTTTACTACACTACCTTACTCACTCTGTTTAGCACATGGCCTCACATGTGAATCCTTAAAGAGATGGGTGGGACTAAGGCTTAAGAGGGTGTGAACAATGCTGAATAGGTGTAGACAAAGAAGAGCTCTCCAGTAGGTTTACCAAAACATTCAAGGGTAATTTTCTCAAAAGTGGGGTTAGAAGATTATCCACAGAATTACTTTCACATTATTCCTCAACTGCAGTGTATGATATACCATTTTGTAACTCTGAGTCTCTACTTTTATCCAATGTAAAAAAACACCATTCCAAATTTTGCTACATAAGACCGAATCGAGGTGGTCGGTCACATTTGACTGGTGAGGTGAGTTGTTATCCAGGACCACCACCTGGTGGGGAAGGCTATAGTATGTCACTGGAAATGACCATGAGTGAGCTAGATCAAGTCAAGGCAGGTAAATAACTTAACTGGTCTCCAATCCCATTCAAAATGGTATGTATTTAATGGTAGGTGAATACATCTAATTATGACCAGTGAAGTTCAATGAAATATCATATTATTGTGGATGAGGGGGGAGGTGGGCAGGGATCTGGATTTTAGTGGTGGTGAAACTGCTACAAATTCCTGATCCCCAAAATGTGTTTATTTTCTATAATAACTTTCAGCAGATCTGTATTCAATTCAAGGTGATGGTGATGTTGTAGTGTTTTGATTGTTTCTCACATATTATCAAATCAGATTGTGATTCATGTGGATTTTTATTCAAATTGAAACAGAGGAGGTAAACCCACATCAAACAGCACAAAAATACAAACAATTTGTGATGAGATACTGATAATAGTACTTGGAGTACATTTACATTTACATTTACGTCATTTAGCAGACGCTCTTATCCAGAGCGACTTACAAATAGGAGTACTTCTTCAACCAACCATTCACACGCATATCGAGTACACTCGACACAAGACACAGAGTAAGGCCACTCCACTGAAATGAATTGTACATTTGACATTAAGACAGCGGCTTCCATCATCTTCATCAATCTCAAACTGGACCTAACTAAAGTAAAGTAAAAAATAAGTAAATGTACATGAGGTTCACGTTTCCTCTGCAATTGATTCATTCTACCACTAGATGGTATTGTGGGCATATTTTTCAGGGGAAATATTCCTGTTCACCCTACAACCATCTTACTCTCTTCCCTCCCCGCTCTCCTACCTTCCCCTCCCCCCTCCCCACTCTCCGACCTTCCCCTCCCCCCTCTCCTACCTTCCCATCCCCGCTCTCCTACCTTCCCCTCCCCCTCCCCACTCTCCAACCTTCCACTCCCCTCTTCTACCTTCCCCTCCCCCTCTCCTACCTTCCCATCCCCACTCTCCTATCTTCCCCTTCCCCTCTCTCCTACTTTCCCCTCCCCCTCTCCTCTCTTCCCCTCCCCGCCCCTACCTCCCTCCCTCCCTCCCTCTCTCTTACCTCCCTCTCCTATCCCTCCCCCCTCCCCCTCTCCTACCTTCCCTCCCCTCCCTCCGTCCCCCTCCCCCCCCCCCGCTTCCCTTCCCCCTCCCCGCTCTCCTCTCTTCCATCCCGCTCTCCTACCTCACACTCTCCCCTCTCCTCTCTTCCCCTCCCTCCCCCTCTCCTCCCTCCTCTCCATCTCTCTATCCCAGGGATCGTCAACTATATTCAGCCATTTGTAGATGGTAAATCGACCGCAGATATAATATTTGACTAAAACATAATCATTTCAAACCTTGCTTACATTTCTATATGGTCACATACACTGAGTGTACAAAATAGCCTAAATTCATCGGAACATGGACTCTACAAGGTGTCGAAAGTGTGCTGGACAATGTTGACTCCAATACTTCCCACAGTTGTGTCAAGTTGGCTGGATGTCCTTTGGGTGGTGGACCATTTTTGATACACGGGAAACTGTTGAGCGTTGCGCCTGGCACCTACTACCATACCCCGTGCACATAAATATTTGTTATTGCCCATTCACCCTCTGAATGGCACACATACACAATTAATGTCTCAATTGTCTCAAGGCTTAAAAATCATTTTTTACCCTGTCTCCTCCCCCTCATCTACACTGATTGAAGTGGATTTATCAAGTGACATCAATAAGGGATCATAGCTTTCACCTGGATTCACCTGGTTAGTCTATGTCATGGAAAGAGCAGATGTTCTTAATGTTTTGTACACTCAGTGTATATCTCTCTATTATGTGTTGGAATACTTTGGAACAGATTCCTAAATTAAAATCACTTGGAGCTGATTTGCTGGTGTTTTTACAGTATTTTATAATATATATATTTTTTAAGAACGCTTGGGGGGGGGCAAATTCAATTTGGCTTGCGAGCTGCCAGTTGGGGAACCCTACCTCTATACCCTACCTCTATACCCTACCTCTTTCTGCTTCCTCCTTTCTTGATACACTATATATACAAAAGTATGTGGACACCCCTTCAAATGATTTGATTCAGTTATTTCAGCCACACCCGTTGATGACAGTTGTATAAAATCAAGCACACAGCCATGCAATCTCCATAGACATACATTGATAATAATAATTAATTATATTATTAATTATTATTATTATTATTATTAATTATTGGCAGTAGAATGGCCTTACTGAAGAGCTCAGTGACTTTCAATGTGGCACCGTCATAGGATGCCACCTTGTGGTCCTCTGTAGCTCAGCTGGTAGAGCACGGCGCTTGTAACGCCAAGGTAGTGGGTTCCATCCCCGGGACCACCCATACACCCAAAAAAAATTATATGTATGCACGCATGACTGTAAGTCGCTTTGGATAAAAGCGTCTGCTAAATGGCATATTATTTATTATTATTATTTTCCAACAAGTCAGTTCCTCAAATTTCTGCCCTGCTTCAGCTGCCCCGGTCAACTGTAAGTGCTGTTATTGTGAAGTGTAAAAGTCTAGGAGCAACAACGGCTCAGCCGCGAAGTGTTAGGCCACACAAGTTCACAGAACAGGACCACCGAGTGCTGAAGCGCATAGTGCTCAGTTGCAACACTCAATACCGAGTTCCAAACTGCCTCTGGAAGCAACGTCAGCACAAGAACTGTTTGTCGGGAGCTCCATGAAATGGGTTTCCATGGCCGAGCAGCCGCACACAAGCCTAAGATCACCATGCGCAATACCAAGTGTCGGCTGGAGTGTTTTAAAGCTCGCCGCCATTGGACTCTGGAGCAGTGGAAACGCGTTCTCTGGAGTGATGAATCACGCTTCACCATCTGGCAGTCCGATGGACGAATCTGGGTTTGGCGGATGCCAGGAGAACTCTACCTGCCCGAATGCATAGTGCCAACTGTAAAGTTTGATGTTGGAGGAATAATGGTCTGTGGCTGTTTTTCATGGTTCGGGCTAGGCCCCTTAGTTCCAGTGTAGGGAAATCTTAACGCTACAGCATACAGTGACATTCTAGATGATTCTGTGCTTCCAACTTTGTGGCAACAGTTTGGGGAAGGCCCTTTCCTGTTTTAGCATGACAAAGCCCCCGTGCACAAAGCGAGGTCCATACAGAAATGGTTTGTCGAGATCGGTGTGGAAGAACTTGACTGGCCTGCACAGAGCCCTGACCTCAACCCAATCGAACACCTTTGGGATGAATTGGAATGCCGACTGCGAGCCAGGCCTAATCGCCCGACATCAGTGCCTGACCTCACTAACGCTCTTGTGGCTGAATGGAAGCAAGTCCCTGCAGCAATGTTCCAACATCTAGTGGAAAGCCTTCCCAGAAGAGTGGAGGCTGTTATAGCAGCAAAGGTGGGACCAACTCCATATTAATGCAGGTGTCCACATACTTTTGGTCATGTAGCGTATCTCATCCTTCAGTCCTTTCTCATTGTGACTCATTTCATCCCTCTCTCTCTCTCTCTCTCTCTCTCTCTCTATCTCCCTCTCTCTCCACTTCTCTCTTCTATATTGTGTGGGTAGGGCCTGTGTCTTATTGTGTGGGTAGGTCCTGTGTCTTATTGTGTGGGTAGGGCCTGTGTCATATTGTGTGGGTAGGTCCTGTGTCTTATTGTGTGGGTAGGGCCTGTGTCTTATTGTGTGGGTAGGGCCTGTGTCTTATTGTGTGGGTAGGGCCTGTGTCTTGCCTCCGGTGGTGGTGAGCTGCATCAGACTGCCCGACGCTGGACGATCCGCACCGGTGGCCCAACTGAAGAAAGTTCTAGAAGAGAAAAGTAAGAGAATGAGACTATGAGATGGCTAGACTATGGGTGCTAGCAGTTACTACTTGTAAGTGAGTACAAGTGAAACATGGCTGGCTTAAAGTATATGATATAAGAGAGATTCCACTTTTTAATTAAGCTCTGGATGAGATTATGTTGTTTTCTAGAAGTCTAGAAGAAATTTCAAGAAGACAAAAAAGGCCACAATATTGATGCCTTTTATGTACACTGCTCAAAAAAATAAAGGGAACACTTAAACAACACAATGTAACTCCAAGTCAATCACACTTCTGTGAAATCAAACTGTCCACTTAGGAAACAACACTGATTGACAATACATTTCACATGCTGTTGTGCAAATGGAATAGACAACAGGTGGAAATTATAGGCAATTAGCAAGACACCCCCAATAAAGAAGTGGTTCTGCAGGTGGTGACCACAGACCACTTCTCAGTTCCTATGCTTCCTGGCTGATGTTTTGGTCACTTTTGAATGTTGGCGGTGCTTTCACTCTAGTGGTAGCATGAGACGGAGTCTACAACCCACACAAGTGGCTCAGGTAGTGCAGCTCGTCCAGGATGGCACATCAATGCGAGCTGTGGCAAGAAGGTTTGCTGTGTCTGTCAGCGTAGTGTCCAGAGCATGGAGGCACTACCAGGAGACAGGCCAGTACATCAGGAGACGTGGAGGAGGCCGTAGGAGGGCAACAACCCAGCAGCAGGACCGCTACCTCCGCCTTTGTGCAAGGAGGAGCAGGAGGAGCACTGCCAGAGCCCTGCAAAATGACCTCCAGCAGGCCACAAATGTGCATGTGTCTGCTCAAACGGTCAGAAACAGACTCCATGAGGGTGGTATGAGGGCCCGACGTCCACAGGTGGGGGTTGTGCTTACAGCCCAACACCGTGCAGGACGTTTGGCATTTGCCAGAGAACACCAAGATTGGCAAATTCGCCACTGGCGCCCTGTGCTCTTCACAGATGAAAGCAGGTTCACACTGAGCACATGTGACAGACGTGACAGAGTCTGGAGACGCCGTGGAGAACGTTCTGCTGCCTGCAACATCCTCCAGCATGACCGGTTTGGCGGTGGGTCAGTCATGGTGTGGGGTGGCATTTCTTTAGGGGGCCGCACAGCCCTCCATGTGCTCGCCAGATGTAGCCTGACTGCCATTAGGTACCGAGATGAGATCCTCAGACCCCTTGTGAGACCATATGCTGGTGCGGTTGGCCCTGGGTTCCTCCTAATGCAAGACAATGCTAGACCTCATGTGGCTGGAGTGTGTCAGCAGTTCCTGCAAGAGGAAGGCATTGATGCTATGGACCGCCCGTTCCCCAGACCTGAATCCAATTGAGCACATCTGGGACATCATGTCTCGCTCCATCCACCAACGCCACGTTGCACCACAGACTGTCCAGCAGTTGGCGGATGCTTTAGTCCAGGTCTGGGAGGAGATCCCTCAGGAGACCATCCGCCACCTCATCAGGAGCATGCCCAGGCGTTGTAGGGAGGTCATACAGGCACGTGGAGGCCACACACACTACTGAGCCTCATTTTGACTTGTTTTAAGGACATTACATCAAAGTTGGATCAGCCTGTAGTATGGTTTTCCACTTAAATTTTGAGGGTGACTCCAAATCCAGACCTCCATGGGTTGATAAATTTGATTTCCATTGATAATTTTTGTGTGATTTTGTTGTAAGCACATTCAACTATGTAAAGAAAAAAGTATTTAATAAGATTATTTCATTCATTCAGATCTAGGATGTGTTGTTTAAGTGTTCCCTTTATTTTTTTGAGCAGTGTAATTTATATCTGTGCCTCTTAGCGTGATTTGAGTTATGTTGTTGATTTGAGTTAGCCAATGACCTATTTCAACAGCAACTATATTATGAGATTGCCTATTCACAATTCAAAGTCAACATTCTACACCAGTCCACCAAATGGACATTTGATAAGCAGATGAACTGTATCAAAGTGTTCATTTAAATGCCCCTCCCATTTCTCTATTCTATTCTATTTATACTCCCAGACCCTCATCTGATCGACTGGTAATCTGCAGGGTTAATGTTGTCCAACACTTCTGGGATAATAAAGCTGGATCAAATCCCATTTTATCTCTACCGTGTACAGAGGAGACAAGAGACTCAGCGCTCTGTGTCTAAACTGACATGAAAAGAGGAACACATCCTTTATGGGCTCCATAAACTATTTTAGGGGCTCCATACACTAGTTTAGAATAGAACTACACAAAGGTATATTTCATTTATGTTTGTGTGCATTAGTTACAGTACAGAGTTATCATTGCATTTAAAACACATTTGGGTAAATCCTGTAAAGAGTATCCAAGTAATAGAAGCCAAGACTATATCCAGTCAAGAGTATTGTAAGTAATTTAAGATTGGAGATTATAATTAGTTGATTGATATGTCCATCAAATTAACATTTGAATCACATTAAAGCATTATTCAAACCAGACATTTGGCTCTAAATATCTTTTGACAATATGTTGATTTTAACAAGTAATACTGCAATACAATTGAGTAGGCTATTTTCCCAGGCCATTTGACAGCATTGCCATCTTCTGGTGAAATACTGGTATACACCACATTTTTTAAAAGAAAAAGATAGTCTATAATTATAGTCTTACATTAATCAAAGAGATACATCTGTATGTTCTAAACCTTTTGAATAATTACATCTTACAGCATAAATATACAATTTTAAATCTCAAGATCAACTAAATGATCAGTAAAAACACAAGTTAATGAAAACAACCTATCATCCACCATATCACACTCACTCTGCAATGTACTCCAGCGGTGTCCAGGAACCAAAGTCTGCATCAGGCATGAACTTCCTGTTCATTGGCGTATCCAAGGTTACCCTGTGTAATCAAGTCACATGACAATGTTCTGGCGGTGGTAGGAACTGACTGCCTGAGGCCTGAAGCTCCTGCCCTGGACTGATTGTAACAGGCCCATGTAAGCCCCTTGTCTACAGACTAAAAAACAACAGTAACGCTAAAGTGTAGAGATAATATCGCTATTATCTTATTTACCACCAGCAAGCATCTAACAACCTCTTTGATGAAGGCCTTTCACTGTTATATTAGCATGATAATTGATACATAAATACTTGCATATATTGAAATATGATTTTACATTTCAGTTGTATTAGTTGTATGTTTGAATGTGCACAGTTGGAGTCTACAGTCTTTTGAATGTGCACAGATGCAGTCTACAGTCTTTTGTGCACAGTTGCAGTGAATAAAGCAACCCTCCTATACGTATTGGTAGTGCAGAAGAACTGCAAGTCATGGGGGTAATGCTGACCATATGTGACAGCTAGTAGTAGCCTGGCAGGTGGCCTCAGTCCAACCTCATGCAATTGGAATGTACCATAACAGAGCCCTGAGAATATTGACTACAAAACTCAGATACAGGCTTCTCATGCTGACAGTGCAAAAAAGTGCTTTACATCCATGTGTTAATCAATGAAACTGTGTATACAGATAGATGCTCATGAGGTGAATACATGTAATGTATTCGTAATGTAAACTTTGACCTCTGTTGTTGCAAATACATTTCATTCCTAATGACTATTTCCAATGAGTGAAGGTTTTTCCTATTCCTATTCATAATTAGTAAGTAATAAACTGTAATAATAACAAACGGTATCTTTGGCAGGTTATAAACTGTAATAATAACAAACGGTATCTTTGGCAGGTTATAAACTGTAATAATAACAAACGGTATCTTTGGCAGGTTTTTCCTATTCCTAATTAGTAATTGATTAACTGTAATAAAAACAACAAGATGCCTCACATTTTAGTCATTTAGCAGACGCTCTTAGCGAGAGCGACTTACAGGAGCAATTAGGGTTAAGTGCCTTGCTCAAGGGCACATCAACAGATTTTTCACCTAGTTGGCTCGGGATTCGAACCAGAGACCTTTCGGTTACTGGCCCAATGCTCTTAACCGCTAGGCCTACTCACGGTAGTATGGCTACAGCCACAGCTCCAGGGGGCATCCCACTTTCTTCTCCTGCTAGACTCTGACAGAGCTGGTGGACTGCTGCCTTGGCCATGCCATAGCTCACCATGCCTGAGGAGAGAGAGAAAGAGGGAAGGATGGAGAGAGGGACAGTGATATAGGAGAGATAAAATCATACACCAATAAATCTTACCATAATAACAAGGGACATGGAAATATACACAAAAACCAGTTTTACAAAGTCATATATATGTGATATTACAAACATATAGTATATTTTGAAGTCAACATACATTTACTACACATTTATAACTTCCTGTTTATATACTATGGACAAATATTCTGGGTGTTTTTGGTTCCCAAACTTTTCCCATGACAGTATTGAGAGATGACTGCTTGTTTCACAGGCATGCTTTTGACTTCCCATCAATGTTTGTGTTTGTAGCATCTGGAAACAATAAGCAGCATTTTCCAATTAGAAACACTTTTTGAAAGAAATGGCAGAGGCATGCCACAGCTACCTTTGAAAAATGGACCAATGAGAGAAAGGGGTGGAGAGTTAGCTCTTTTTCATTCAATTACATTTTCTCTCCAAGATACTACTAAACTGAAGAACTGGAACCTATTTCTTAATGGAACACATAGACTTTGAGTGGGGAGAGACTGTCAGTTTTTTTTTTTTATTTTTTACATAGATGCACTCCAAATTGCTATCGTTAAGATGGTTTATAGGAAGTGCCTTCAGAATCCATTTCCCCAAAGAGCATTAACAGACTTGCGTGCTGAATCACCCAAAAGTTAAATCAATGATATTTGACAGTGCAACTTGACTTTTAAATCTAGGGTCAAGGGTTAGGGTCATAGGGTTCTCACATGGTTAACTAGCCTCAGTCTTTAACCCCAAATCAACCCCAAATATTTAAGTCCACAATGAAATGTCTACAATGTAGCTTTCCTTTAGTCTGCATCTGGCTTTGCAAGACCAGTTGTCCCTAAGACACCACTGGCAAGACCAGCTGTCCCTAAAACACCACTGGCAAGATCAGCTGTCCCTAAAACACCACTGGCAAGATCAGCTGTCGCTGAGACACCACTGGCAAGACCAGCTGTCCCTAAGACACCACTGGCAAGACCAGCTGTCCCTAAAACACCACTGGCAAGATCAGCTGTCGCTGAGACACCACTGGCAAGACCAGCTGTCCCTAAGACACCACTGGCAAGACCAGCTGTCCCTAAGATACCACTGGACACCAAACTGCCCAAAGGCAGTATATCACCATAGAAAACTCAGTAAAGCTGGTTGAGAATGTCTTTAGATCAGACACACTATTAACCAGTAAGCTCTTAAGTATTAAAGCTAATATTATGCTCAAATATAAGCACAAATAACCCCTAAACACATGCAATCTTCAAGCACTACTACTATCTTCCAATGTCTTGTTTTTGTCAGTAGTACAGAGCATTTGTATTATGATATCCAAAATATTTCAAGAGCAGCTTTTTTTAAATGTTCGTAACATTACAAAAATCGGAAACTTTTTGTCCAAAAATTATGCAGAAAACCTAATCCATGCGTTTGTCACTTCAAGATTATACTACTGCAATGCTCTACTCTCCAGCTACCCGGATAAAGCACTAGTGCTAAATACGTCTGCTAGAATCTTGACTAGAATCAAAGCATCTGATCATACAGTATTACTCCAGTGTTAGCCTCTGGCTTCCTGTTAAGGCTAGGGCTGATTTCAAGGTTTTACTGCTAACCTACAAAGGACATGGACTTGCTCCTACCTATCTCTCTGATTTGGTCCTACCGGACATACCTACACGTACGCTGCGGTCACAAAACGCAGGCCTCCTTATTGTTCCTAGAATTTCTAAGCAAACAGCTGGAGACAGGGCTTTCTCCTATAGAGCTACGTTTTTATGGAATGGTCTGCCTATCCATGTGAGAGATGCAGACTCTGTCTCAACCTTTAAGTCTTTACTGAAGACTAATCTCTTCAGTAGGTCCTATGATTGAGTGTAGTCTGGCCCAGGGGTGCGAAGGTGAATGGCAAGGCACTGGAGTGACGAACCACCATTGCTATCTCTGCCTGACCGGCTCCCCTCTCTCCACTGGGTTTCTCAGCCTCTGACCCAATTACGGGGGATGAGTCACTGGCTTGCTAGTGCACTCCCATGCCATCCCTAGGATGGGTTCGTCACGTGCCATGCTTTTTTCGCTGTACTAGACTTGACTGGGTTGAGTCACTGACGTGACCTTCCTGTCTGGTTTTGCGACCCCTCGGGCTAGTGCGGTGGGGGAAATCTTTGTGGGCTGTACTCGGCCTTGTCTCAGGGTACTAAGTTGGTGGTCAGTTGATATCCCTCTGGTGGTGTGGGGGCTGTGCTTTGGCAAAGTGGGTGGGGTTATATCCTGCCGGACAGGGCCACAGTGTCCCCCAACCCCCTCTGTCTCAGTCTCCAGTATCTATGCTGCAATAGCTTATGTGTCGGGGGGCTAGGGTCAGTCTGTCCTATCTTGTGTAATTCTCCTGTCTTACCTGGTGTCCTATGTGATCTTAAGTATGCACCCTCTAATTCTCCCATCTCTCTCTCTCTCTCTCTCTCTCTCTCTGCATCGCAGTGCTATCCTGGTTCGAATCCAGGCTCTGTCGTAGCCGGCCGCGACCGGGAGACCCATGGGGCGGCGCACAATTGGCCTAGCGTTGTCCAGGGTAGGGGAGGGAATGGCCGACAGGGATGTAGCTCAGTTGGTAGAGCATGGCATTTGCAACGCCAGGGTTGTGGGTTCGATTCCAGTATGAAAAATAAATAAAAATGTTTGCACTCACTAACTGTAAGTCGCTCTGGATAAGAGCGTCTGCTAAATGACTAAAATGTAAAAAATGTAAATGTAAATAGGCATAAGGCAATCGATGCACTTGCAGTACCTGTTGGATAAAGGCATGGGGGAAATGTTTTATCTACAGTAAATTAATGGTAGTTTTAAAGATGTATTTCTAAGACTCACACACTTCTTCCAAAAGGCAGCTCTGAGCATTACCATGAAAATCTGTAAATCTTGTGGGCTATATCATAGACTTTGTAAAACAGGGTAAATACTGTAGATCCTTTTTGAATTAAAATAAATATAGACATACATTCTTCAATATCAAAACCTTATTCATATTTTATGTTAAAAAAACACACAGGTGAGAGTTAAACTATAGGAAACATCCCAAATAATATTAGACATACCGCTGTCAAAAAAGTAATCTAAACCAAACCTGTGAAGGAAATCCCTACAGTTTCCTGGCCTGTGTCTAGTGAAGCACTAGTTTCTACAGTAAGCTACATTTCAATGGGAAAACAGCACAACACACTCTAACCATGTCCACATGTGGAGAGACCAAAATTCTGCTGATTCATTCTCCTCCCCAACCTAACAGCCAATGAGAGTGGAGGCTTTCTACCGACTGCTGATCAGTGATTTTAGGTGCCCTAGTGTCAGGATTTATATTGTTCTCATGACCATCACATGGGTAACACACCACACAGGGAATGGCATGGGTGTTGGGTCCTATAGGTACCATCACATGCATACTGGGTCAGGTTTAAAATGCCAGACAGCATTGCTTGAAAAACCATAGTAGTAACAATTTCTCTCCTCATTATTGTCTGACATCATTAAAATATCACCATGTATATCAAATACATATAATATTCAACGTTACTCATATTTTCATTTCATCTCACATATCATAGTATTTTTTGTATTTCATGGGTTCCGTGTTTTACAAATAGTCTGATTACGTAAGCTGCTATTTGTTTTGGTTGCCTAAGTCGTGACGACAGTAGATGTAAGCCAAAGTCCCTTAAACATCAAAGTCGGAATGAAACGGTGGTCAGAACAGAGGCACAGTCAAACAGGGTCAGCATGACAACATTACAGGAGAAAATAATAGCAGGTTGGCATTTACTGAGATGTACTGGAGGCAGCTCTGCAGAGTGGCCACTAGCTGGCACAGCCACAAATTCATAAAATCTGATTTTAAACCTAACCTTAACCACACTGCTCACCCTAATGCCTAACCCTAACCTTAAATTATGACCAAAATGCCAAAAATTAATAATAGAATGCCAGTAGAATCAAATCGAATACCAGTAGAATAGAATAGAACACCAGTAGAATAGAATAGAACACCAGTAGAATAGAATAGAACACCAGTAGAATAGAATAGAACACCAGTAGAATAGAATAGAACACCAGTAGAATAGAATAGAACACCAGTAGAATAGAATACCAGTGGAGTAGAGTAGAGGTAAGTGGCGTCTTACTGCTAGTACCACCCAGTGATGCTTTAGCCCCAGCCAGAGTCAGCAGTCCACCCTGCTTCAGGTGCACAGCAGCCAGATGGCTAGAGATGGCAGAGGTCCACACACTCTGTTTCCACATCATGTCTGTGTTTTTGTACAGGTCTGAAAACAACATACATAAGAGAATATGTTTGAGGAACAACATTGTAATAATGAATTAACCATATAATTAAATGGAACAAACAAACATCCCTATTGAATGCCGGATGAGAATTCAGCCTAAGGGGAAGTTGGTTTGAAAGGGGGTTTGATGTTTAAAGGGAGATATTTACATTTTAGCAGACACTCTTATCCAGAGCGACTTACAGTAGTGAGTGCATACATTTTCATATTTTGTTTGTACTGGTCCCCCAAGGGAATCGAACCCACAACCCTGGCGTTGCAAGTGCCAACAACTGAACCACAGGGTACCTAGGATTCATATCACAGTGTGTGTTCAAAATGAACTGATGATATCTCAGGGAAACGCTCTTGAACCTTTGGAGCTGCAATTGCCTCCCGCCCATCCGCCTGCCACACACAAGATGGCATCCACTTTCTGGTCCCCTAGCAACTGGGCCACATCTGCTGTCACCTGCAGCAAGAGATAGTCTATTAAAACGGGCTCGAGTCTGGGTGTTTTGCTAATATAACATGTCATTTGAATACATCTTTTATCATTTGGAATGTCACCACTTGCTGTGTTTACAATTTTGTTCCCATCTAGCTAGTACAATAATGAAAATACCAATTTTGCTGTTTAAAAAGACGAATTCAATGGTGCAATTAATAAAATAGGTCTATATGCAACAGCATTATAACCAATGATCAGAGTTTTCGATCGTGGCATAGAAATTACAGTAATTATCCAGCGTTTTGCAAATGGAAAGTCAATGATTGTTTCCCTTGACATCGGAGCATTCAATAAACCATAACCGTAAACATCACAGATTGAGCAGGTGAAAGCGCGCTCCTCCTACCTGTCCCGCTTGCTCGGTAAATGACTCCGACAACTTCACCAGCACGTTCGCGTTTGCCTCCTCATTGGCAACGATATCGACGCTGGCTACCCACTATTGGAAAAGAAAGAAAGAACAACAGAGCATGAAACATTTGCATTCTATGGAAAATAGGATGATGATATCGAACTATCCTTCAAAGTCGGCTATTTATTCGACATGCAAGTCAAAGTAGACTAAGTAAATTATAACATTATATGTTTTCTGATAGTTCTGGGCTGGCAGCGTTGAAACGTCTTGATGACAATTTCATTTGGTTTAATTTCCGTTTCCTTGCTTCTTACCATAGCATCTAGGCTAGGGCTAGGCCTACTCAACAAGTGGTTATTGCAAATAGACACTGGTGCAAGCAACGACTCACAATTCTTTCGTAATTGTATTCTATACGAAAAAAATAACACGTATAGCACTCACCCATCCTTTAGAAGTGAAATGCTGAACAATTTTGCTACCCAATGCACCTCTTCCTCCGTAAACGAGTACCCGACTGGCAGTCATGCTTTCTTTACTATGCGCTTCAAGCAATGATTACTATTTCACAAAACACGACAGCTACCGTACAGAGAGAGAGAGAGAGAGAGAGAGAGAGAGAGAGAGAGAGAGAGAGAGAGAGAGAGGAGAGAGAGAGAGAGAGAGACAGAGAGACAGAGAGACAGAGAGAGAGAGGTACACTCACCCTCAAGATTTAAACAGACACACAGCACATCTGAGGTGGACCTTAGCTCAATAGTGTTCAATGTCAAAATGCGACAGCTATTATAGCATTCTCAGTGCATAGGTTAGTCTACACCAGGGATGGCAAACTGGCGGGCCGCGGGCTGCATAACTCAGTCAGGGTCTCAATTAGTGTTGAGAGTTAGAATATTAGAATACACAAGGCTCAATTTCTGAATTTGGTTGTGCATCAGCAGTTTTTCTCTTGTTATGTCAGTCACTGACAGTCACTCAATTAGCCCATGTCTAGCTATCTAAGCCAGCTATCTAAACTTGTCGTAATCATGGTCGACCAACCAAGGCCCCCATTGATTTTATTTGTCACTCTCACTCAGATATCATATAAAAAAACTGCAAACATTTCTCTCCACCCTATGGCAAATGTGTAGAATTGCAGGAAATTAGCTGTAAACTGCTATTTTTTCCCTCACTTGTTCCATGGCAAAATTAGTAGAATTGTAGGAAATTCCATCCCATGACAAAATGTGTTGGAGAATTTAGCATTTTTCAAACACCTGAAACAGCTTTTTCCTGCAATCTAGAGTCATAATCATTATGCTTAATTTGATGTAAAAAGCATACCTCTTGAGCTGTCTGTATCCTCCTAAAATATAATTTTTCCCTCGTGGGGACCGGCAAAATGTCCCCAATTGTCCAAATGTACCTTGTTTTACTATTCTTATGAGGACTTCTGTTATGCACAAGGATAGCTAAACAAAAACACACACACACTCTCACACCAATTATGTGCATACTCATGTATTCAGATCAAATCAAAGTACAGGATTTGGATACAGCAGCAGTGAGACAGCCACATGCTACGACACCAGCCTGGCCTAATTGGGAGTACATCCTTGTCATCCTGAGTACAGCATGTCTGAATCTGTCACAGCAACACAGCTCATTGAGATATCATCAAATAATTTTCAAGCCCTGGGCTTTCACTCGCAGTCAAACATTTCAGACTAGATTTATAATTGCACAATGATGGCTTATGGCCTAGCTTTTCCAGTAAATTGCACATCCAATGAATAGACATTCAAAATAAACAGCAGAAAATGAGACAGCAAAATTCAAAATGTTTGCTCGCATAGACTAGTATTTGATCACGCCGCTTTGACCAGGTAATGTCTGTAGATTACGACACATTAAATGATATGAAAACGTTTCCCCCTGTATTTGTCTGTGATTTGTGCAGTTATCAAACAGCATGAGGTTTCTGTCGGATGCAGTAGAATCTAAAGGGATGATCATGATGTTCAACACACTGCTCCAGGGAGTTGATCATAGTATTTGCTCTTCTAGACTTTAGCTATCAACGCTGCTTCCCTACCATTATATACCCCCCAATCCACAGCTAGTGTTGTTCCTATCAGCATGCCTCCTTCCCTACTCACCATCTTATCATTAGCGTGGGTAACAGTCTATTCCTGCTTTAGCCAAGTCCTGTGTCATCACAAAAACTAAAGCACGAACAGACTTCCACCCAGGCTATCATATCATTCATCCAAGTTAAATAGCCGTATGTGATTGTCAGTAGACCTAAGCCTGGACACACTGTTAAACTGTGAATAAAGTGGACAATAATTCGATATTATAAAATGGTATATTTTGAAGTCGCGCCACTTCTTTGGTTTGACCACTAGATGTCATCAAAATACTTTGATTAAGTGAATATACCTTCTATACAGAGCGTTAGCACTTATTGAGGGGAAATATGTATTACGTGATCAACAAAGGCAAAACGAAGTGCTTCATCTCAAGTTAAGAGGAAATAAAAATGCCTCAGGGATCAAAGGACTTAATCAAATAACTAGTTTATACCTTTTCCAGTTTGATAACTTTTGTCTTATGCTGGCACAAGACATTTATCCTGGCATCCTATTTACCATAACTAGGCCCTACCAGTTTGATAGATATGACTTACTAGTAGATAGAAATCCATCAAACTAGTTAGGCCTTTCATGTTGTGAGCTAGGTTGTCGTGGTGGATATGCAGTGAGGAGGCAGACAAGGAAGGCCTGTGCAAATCCCCACAATGAATATCACAAAACGTATTAACAGTGAAGGAGGGGAACAAGCTGGCGAGTAAGTGTTGACTGAACAAGATTTAGTCAGGCCCCAAATTATAGGCACCCTTGATAAAGTTAAGAAAAAAAGACTGTATAAAATAAATAATACAAATACTGAGCTATATTGTATGCAATTTTTTTGTGGAAAATTATATTATTTTATACTTATACAATTGCTCAGAGAAAGTGATTTTTGTCTCAAAAAGAGAGGGTCAAAATGTTCAGTACCTTTTTCTCACCTTGCGAGGATAATATCACTGAGCCTTTTTCTAAAATGTTTTACGAGATTGGAGAACACATTGGTTGGGATCTTAGACCATACCTCCATACAGAATCTTTCCAGATCGTTGATATCCTTCATCTGCGCTTATGGGCGGCCCTCTTCAATTCAAACCATAGGTTTTCAATGGGGTTCAAGTCCGGAGACTGAAATGGCCATTGCTAAATGTTGATTTTGTGGTCAATTAATAATTTCTTTGTAGATTTTGATGTATGCTCTGGGTTATTGTCTTGCTGGAAGATCCACCTCTGGCTAAAATGTCCTAGTACAAGTCCTTAACAAGGGCCCCAGTGGAAGCAAAATATCCCCATAACATCAAAGATCCACCACAATATATGTGACGGCCTGTCCCAACGGGGGCTTATGTCAACAACAATTATTTTTGTATTTTTTACTGTTTACAGATTACAAAGTGGTATATCATACACTGTGATTGGAGGAAGCATGGACAAGTTATGCTGCTTTAAAAGTTGATTAAAAGAAAATGGCCTTGAAAGATTTTGTTGATTGCAAGAGAGCTCTTCTTTGTATTTAGGTACTCTTAAGTGGATACTCACATGAAATAAATGATATAGTATACAATGTATAAATACTATAGTATTCACTGTAGTGTTTTTGTGTACTTTACTGTAGTAGATACTGCAGTATTTACAGTTAACTACAGTATAAATAATGTAGTAAAAGAAAACACGAAGCATGAAAAAGTTGCTTTAAAAGTTTATAAACTTGTTATCCCACTTAGGCGACGAGTAGTTAGAAATGAGTGCTAGAGAGCTCTTCTTTGTTTATGCCCATTCAAAATCGTTCACAGCCTCTTAAGCCTTAGCCCCACCCATCTATTTAAGAATTCACATGTCAATGTATGGTCAACCCCTCCATTATCTCAGCCAATCATGTGGCTAGCCAGGAAGTATCCTGTCTTTCTCCCTATATAGCTCAGCACTTTCTCCTTGGCTAAACTAGGCTCATAATGTAATTTTGTATTAATATTTACAGTTCCTATACAAGTTTGTATTTAAGGCTTATGGGGTTATTTTCTGCTTTAATGCATCCTTATTTCGACGCCAAACCCTCCATTGGTGTGCGTGGTCAAAGAGCTCTATTTTAATGTCATCCAACAAATGTAAATGTCTGGAGTTTGCTAAACGACATTGACCCTTGCATTCGAACCGGTGCTATGGTCAGATGACATGAAAATACCAGTGGTGGGTTTGGATTCAAAATAAGGATGCATAAGAAGAAAATAACCCCATACCTACTGTAAAATATTGGTGAGTATTTGATGTTATGGGACTATTTTGCTTCCACTGGTCATAGGGTCCTTTGTTAAGGTCAACGGCATCATGAACTTTACCCAGTACCAGAACATTTTTTACAAAAACCTGGTTGCCTCTGCCAGGAGGCTGAAACTTGGCCTCAGGTGGATCTTTCAACAATACAATAAGCCCAAGCACACATACAAATCCACAAAGAAATGGTTAATTGAGCACAAAATCAACATTTAGCAATGGCCATATCAGTCTCCGGATTTGAACCCCATTGAAAACCTATGGTTTGAATTGAAGAGGGCAGTCCATAAGCGCAGACAAGGGATATTAAGGATCTGGAAAGATTTTGTATGGAGAAATGGTCTAAGATCCCTCCCAATGTGTTCTCCAATCTCATAAAACATTAGAAAAAAGTGCCGTTAACCTCGCAAGGTGAGGTATTGAAAGGTATTGAAAACAGGGGTGCCAATAATCTTTAGCCCTATCTTTTATAGAATAAATATTATTACTTGTTAAACAAAATCTCTTTCTCTGTGCAATTGTATTAATATAAAATATATATATATATATGTTTTTTTGTATACAATATAGTATATAGTAGCTCAGTATTTGTATTATTTATTTTATACAGTCTTTTTTTCTCATCTTTATCAAGGGTGCCAATAATTTTGGAACTGACAATATACAACAAAAATAATAAACAGGACGTTGAAACAAGGCCCAAATGACCTGAATTAAATAATAAATAACAGCCAGTTAACAGGTAAGGTTAAACAAAGCAAGCATTTACATTTATTAAGCTTAACTTTAACGTAAATTCTTAAACATGATCAACTTGTAGTTAAACTTTTAATCCACAGATGCATTTATGGAAGAGTAGGCTATTTAGTGTAGAGCGGCCAACAAAATTTTGGCGCCAACCAAATGAATCGGCGTGCTCGAGACCACAAACTCTCATACATAGCCTCTTTTCTTTTTACAGGTTAGCCACAATCAAAATAGCGGAGAACCTTTTGATGAAAAACGTCTTTCAATAAACTGTTGTAATTACTTAGGCCTACTTTGTTACATTTATGCAGGTATGGATAGTATGCTAGCTCTGTGTCAATAGCAAACAGCGATGCATTGGTAGTCTATTAGTGCTCTAAAGGGAGAGGACTTGAT